GCATGACAACTGGTTGTGTAAATTTCCGAATGAGAGCAGGTGCTGCGGTCATGTCTGCCATAGGAAGCGTCTACCACACTGATTCGCTTTCCATGGCAATTGATGGTGTTTCTGTCCCCTTCACAAATGGTTAAAGAATCCTAATGAAGTCAAGAGGAAATTTGGAAAAAAACTTCGAAGGTTTTTTCTTGGAGTTAAATTATTGTAAACTTTTAAGGTATATTTATTTTATTCTCGTTTTCTAGTGGTGTTACCTTGCCTTTGGCAAATCAGTGTTTTTAACCTCAGTAAAATATAAATTTGAGTTGAGCAACTTTCAATTTGGAAATAATTTGTTGTAGTCACAAAAAATGACTAAATACCAGTTGACATACATGATCATACATCAGCCTTTATGAGGCCTCGGCCACATTAATGCGTTTCCACAAGTATCCGTTTTCGTCTAAACGAAAACGACGCAATACGTTTTCGCCTATCGTCCTCACTATAACTCCCTTAAACGTTCAGATGGAAACAATAGTCAGGTATATGACGCTTTTTTCGTCACCGTTTTCAAAAGCCTCCACTTTCACCTGTCCACCCTAAAAATCTATCGTTCTTAAAAGGCTCCACCTTTAAAACCGTTTTCCAAAGCCTCCGTTTTCATCAGCAGTTTTTTTGGGTCGTTTCACCATAGACGATGGGCGATGGACTAGCAAGAACTACTAGCATCCCATCCAGGGGGCGGAAGAAATACTCGTAGTCGCCTTATGCTACAGAAAGCAGGATAAGCTACGGCCTGATGGGCCACTTGGCTCGTACGCAGACTTTACCTTTACCTTTACCTTTACCTTTACCTTTACCTACCTGATCAGTGCACTTGTACGTGACCCTCAGATATTTGTATGTTCCATGACAGGGATCACCAAATACTGAGTTGCTTGCTTCCAAGGTACAGCTGCTCCTGTAGTTGCATTTGCTGCGCACAATACTAAGGGAATTGCCGGCATGACAACTGGTTGTGTAAATTGCCGAATGAGAGCAGGTACTGCGGTCATGTCTGCCATAGGAAGCCTCTACCACGCTGATTTGCTTTTCATGGCAATTGATGGTGTTTCTGTTCCCTTCACAAATGGTTGTTTGCCTTGGTTCAGCTGGGAAAATTAAGAATTAACGTGGCTCGATCGGATTTTTGAGTAACGGTAGCGTTCAACTTTGAGCGACTAGATCACCTCCATTATCAATACTAGCTTGACAAATTTTAGCAGGCCTCGGGAAAGTTGCCGGAAAGCAATCGCGCGTTTTATGAGTTCATGATATACAGAAATGTACAAAAGCATGGTGATCCGAGACAAAAGAAAATTATAATGAGGACAACAAACAACATGAGTGAAAATCAGCGCAATATTTTGCTGAGTTGACGCTGAAAGTTAGCAGCCTTAAAATGTTTCAATTTATCTGAAACTCCGGTGTTAAGTTGAATATGGATTAAT